TTAATTCTTTGAATGTGTAAAATTCTTAGAATTTTTAATAACTATACTGACAAATTATTATTTTCAGTTTATTCACTGTTAAGATTCTGAGTTTGGTGTGCTAAATATCTGTAGTTTCTTTTATAAAATTAAAAACATTTTATCTTTAGTATTATTTGTGTATTAACTTTGAAAACATTTTATTTCTTGTTCTGTTGCTTAGTATAATAGCACGCAGTGACAGCCTTTGTTTACATAAATTTTATTTTAAATATGTTTCTTGGCGTTTTGAGTGTTTTAATTGTGTCGTTTCTTGGTTATAGCTAAAGCTAACGATAAGCAAAACAACAAAGACTTAAGAAAAAAAAATTATTTTATTCTTACAAGAACAAAAATAAAGGTTAGAGTTTTATTACACTATTTGTTTGTGTATGTTTTCAACCACAGTAACTTTTGACATAATCATTAAATGCGTACAAAAAACTCTATTTCGTTGTTTTTATTAAGTTTTGCTGGGCTAATACTTATGATTAATAATAACACTAGAAAAGAGGCAAACGTATTGTTTGCAGAAACACTTTTCCAAAAACTTTTTATTTTTTTAATCAGATTCCCCCAATTGTAACACTCGGAGTGAGCCGCATACGCATTACTTTCCCTGGCCTGCCACAGCGTTCACAACAGTCACCTTATTTGTATTTTAACTTTTAAAAAATATATAATGTTGCTTTACTGGTGGGGTGAGCTCACACTAATGTTATCAATTTGCCTACCGATGGGTTATTTGTAGAGTATTCGTTCAGTATTGTCTGTGTCGTATGCTTTTCTCAAGGTAATAAGACATAGCATGGACTAGTTTAACTTTGTCCAGCCTAAATCATCGTTAAGCCATATGCAACAAGGACATATTCAACCTTATATTTTTCTTTAAATCACTGATCTATGTATTGGTTGCATAGAGTATCGCATCTAATGTGCGAACCTGCAGAGAAATTCAATTTATGGCCTATAATATGTATAACACGGATAGATAATAATGATAATTATTTGGAATATTATTTTATATTTTTCAGTCAGGCAAGAGTTTTTTTTATTTATAAGAAAGAAAAAAAGTTTTATTTCGGTAATAAGGAAAAAACTATCAACACTCACTTATTTGCCAAAAAATATTATTAAATTTGAACGTTAAAAGAAATTATATAAGTTGCTATAAAAATAAATTACTGATTGAAATTTCAATTCTAGTACAGTTCACTAATTAAAGTATTAGAGTTCTCGAAAAGTCACTAATTAAATTATAGTTTGGATGATTTCTTTAACACATCTCTTGTTCTATGTCAAAGAAAAAAAAACACCGTTGCGGAAAATATTGTTTTTAATCTTTTGCTTTAGTTTCTTCATAATTCAATTACAAACAAAATGATTGATATACCTTCGAATACAGCTATTTTCTAACTACTTCATCAACGAAACTTTTGCCTCGGCTGTCGTAAGTTATTGATATTTAGCCAGCAGCGTTCAGCTTATACTTCAGAATTAGTATAGCAGGATAAAACTTTGGGTATCTCGTAAAACGGTGTCAAGCCGTCCAAATAAACTCACGAGTTCCAATATTTCTTTTAGATTCCAATAACATTATCATATAAAGTATACTATAATACAATAATTTAAGCCAACTTTTTAAAAAAAATTAGTTATTGACATGTGATATGGGCGATAATTTGCATGACGCTTTTGTTTTGAAATGCTTTTGTCTCCAGGTTTGGTAACTGATAAGAGATTATTGATGAAAAAAGGTAAAAATTAGCTGATGCTTTTTTTATTTTAAGTTGCTTAAAGAACAAGACTCTAAAAATATAAACTTTTTTTGGGTTAAATAATAGGTTTGTTATTGAAGAAAATAGCTGTGATAGCGGATCCATGGTTATAGCGTTGGCGATGCCTTAGGAAAATGTATTGTTTTGTGCATTGTAATCATTTGATTCGCAGTAAAGAAAATTTCGGTGCATAAAAATCTAGCGCACAAACTTTTCCCATTATTTAGAGGGGCTAAACGATTCACCTATTTCGATACAGTAAAATCCGTTACTTTTTTTGAACGATTTATTTAATTTTTGATGCCAATTTCCTTCAAAGGAAAGATAGTAGGGATTTTATATTATACTCCTAAACTCTTACTTAAATCTTATTATATCTTTACAAATGTTTGTATTATAATTATCTAATACTTGTTTAAGAGTTTTACAGTAAACTATACATCACAATACCTAAGGCGCCATGTAAAAGTAATAAATCTTATAAATTAATTTTTAGTAACAATGTGTGAATATTTATATATTTGTGTACAGTGTGCTTTGTAGGCAATATGTTGCCTAAATTTATGATATCACAATAATAATATATAAAATACACAGGTTTATGTTAATATGTATCGAATGAAAATTGGCAATATATGTATAGTGTAACATAGTATAGTATGTATAGTATCATTATCGAGTGTATTAATTTGAATTTATGAATTCTGGGTAACGTATGTACGCATATGAAATAAAAATTAATTAAGGTGTCATTTAGGGGTATCGCTCATTAAAAGCCATTGTTCGGGGTGGCTCGCACCATGCCGTGGCTTTAATGATTCTAGATTTATATTAGTTGTAAAAGTTTATTCCACAACGTTATGGCCCCTCGTTAACCCATTAAAACGTATCACGCTAATTATTTATTAATTACTATTCCGGTCCATACTGCTGCTGCAGTGGTGTGCAAATAATACTAACGTTGTCACAACGCCTGTCGGTCTAAAGTTTGCTGACAAGTTAAACAGTGTAGTAAGCAGTGCCACCGGTTTTCAAAAAAACTGATACACAATACTTATGTGTATAAGTATATACGTGTTAGAGTATCCCTTCTTTGGTCTTTTTCGAACTTTGAAATTTATTCCACCTCCCAGCTGTGACATTCAATCAAATGACATTCAAAAAATACTAGTAAAACAACTACGCTATATTATGATGAGTGCAAATCGTGCCAGTGAATCTATGATTAATAATAAGTGTCATTAAAGCGAATGAATAAAACCGAAAATTCTTCAATGGTATTATTTTAATGCGAGATATTACATGGAGTGAAACTTTACTTAGACTCAAATCGTTTTATAGCAACGTTGATTTCTTGAGTGCTTTCGGGTTGCTCGACAAACAGGGTTTTTTGCCATTGTGTTTCGGTAACCGGGTCTTTTGATGGTTTGCAAGTTTACTATCACGCGACTCCGCCAACGTGGCTCCGTACATGTCGTATCTGCGGTCCTCGTCCGGTAATGGTGCGGCTTTTAACCACACGGGATGTTGCTGAAAACATGGGTTTTACTTTTAGAAGTCATATTACACAATATATATATATATATATATGCACACACACCCCAAAACCGCCGGTATTACAAGCCTGACCCACAGGTCAATTTATTTGCAGTGGGACATAATTAGAACGCGATTGTATGTTTGTTAATAAAGGTCACGTGATCCCAATAGTGGTGTATTAAAAGCTAACGCTATACCGTTCTGGGTACAACTTAAGACTCCAGAAACCCTTTTAGATACGTTAATTAGTAACGATTATATTAAAAACATTCATTTTCTACATAACATTTTTTTACTTCATAATATTATACTAGGTCTTTTCAAAGTTTTCTGGTCATTTCATTTTACTTTATTGATATATACGGGTCGAAGCCCAATGTTATTTTTACATATTACAAATTTCATGTGTAATTTTAAAATAATACTAGACAAATATACTAAAGACATACGATAACCTAGAGATAAATTCTGAATTTATCGGAAAAATTCTTTAAAGTATTTAAAATATTTCTTTGGCCACAACCTAAGAATAATGCAATTCAGATTCAGCAAACAAAAACAATTATATCAATGTATTTTGTTTGTAGTGTTTTAAAAATATGTTAGTAAAAAATAGTTACTAATCACTTTTTTAGTTTATAGGGAAGGGGGTGACATTGCCAACTTTTGATCTTTCGGATTACATCAATAAACTTTGCTATTAATCTATCATAGTTATATTATTCAATCCAAAAAACCTTTCATTATGCGATTATGAAATTAGCTTAGCTAATCTGGAAAAGACTAATGAAACCATAGTAAAAATAAGTTAACATTGATTAAAAAAATTAAACATTGATTATTAAAACATATTTTATGGTAATATATTTTTTCGACACAGATTTAACTCTTAGTATTGATGACGGTTGTTATGATAAAAAGGAAAGGCATTATAAAAAATTCATTTTTATTAAATTTCACATTTAACATAAGAGAATGTTAATATTTAATTAAATATTAACATGTTTTATTACGTATATAAATATGTTATACGCAATGATAGACAAATATAGCAATACAGTTATAATATTGTTAATACTATGATTTGTGTATCATATTATTGTACTACTTACAGATAATGCAGGCATTTTAGTCTGGCACGTTTGAATACATTTTGTTTGAGCTTTACCGTTTTTCAACCCTATTAACGGCTCACATTTTTTCGGTATTTTGCTAGGCATACTGGTTTGTACGTTTACAGGTCTTTGCAAAAATAAAATTTATATTTGTACGTTTATAATACTGCTAAAGGCAACCTTTTTTTATTACAACTATGATTCTCGACATAACAATGTGTAATCAGAACATTAAAGTCATATATTATACCTGATTTCTTTTGGACATGTTTCCTTGGAACATTCATTTTCCTGAAATACGATTAGCGACTCGTCAACAGAGTGAGGGTTATCAGAGAAGTTATACTTGAACCAGTGGTTGACTTTTTTAATCGATTCCTTCACATGCGAAGGCGTTTCGACGGAAGTTGACAGTTTTTCTAATGTTGAGCTCAGTACGTTCATTTTTCTTTTATAACATGCAAATATAATTATGTAATTGAACAGTATTGTATTGTAATGTTGTGCATAAATTAGAAAAAATAATAAACAACGTTTGTTATGGTTTCAGATCATATGGTTCGAGCAACAGTATGAATTAAAACGGTTTAAACGTGATTTCGCGCCGAACCCGAAAACGTCTATTGTTAACACGACGAGAAAATCAAGTTTACGGTTTCCTGACCCGTTGTTTGCTGATCAATGGTACTTGGTAAGTTAGTTTGAAACACTTAGTTTGTAACAATTAAAATTAGGATACCGAGAAATAACAGGACTGTTTAAAATAATATAGAAATTTACAACAGTAACTGTTATATTAAAAAAATGAAATAGAGTTAAAAGTCCAATCTATAGCTGATTATATTTACAATAAATAGTTAATTGAATACAATAAAATAATTTAAACATTTAAAATGGTTTTTATTTCAATGTATTTATTAATACTATAAAATATGACGGTATAAGTACAATTGATTAATACAAGGTAAGTAATGGAATATAAAATATAAATGCCAAACTGTAAAGTATTATATAACAAAAGTAACTTAGTAAAACATTAATTTTGCGAGATAGGTATGAAATCAATCTACATTATTATGAGTTATATTAGCAGTATTCGTTAAAACATAAGGAATAAAGACCAATACTTGTTAGAAATATTTCGTAATTAAACATAGGTTTGTTGATTGCACTATATAATCTACTTTACAATCTATAATGGTATTTAACATTTTTAACAAAAATTTATGACCTATCAAATTAATTCTTTTTTTAAAGGTGAAATAGTGTAAAAAACCACCAATATTTTCATAATTAGAATTATGGCATAAGAATTCAGGTAGTATTTATTAATTCAATTACGTTAGAAATATAACTTTTTTTTTATAAAATTCAATTTTATAAAAAACTGTCTTAAAAAAATAATATGTTTTATTCCATAAAATACTAAAACCGACCAAGTTAATAACACATAAATGTTCTTATTTTGGCTCAATGGTTGAATAAGTTAGAAAGAAGTAGAAGGGGTTCTGTGTAGAAAAAAAAGTGATATTCATAGTGAAAAGCAAATTGAATTAAAAGGCAGTAAGATCTGAGTATAGAGATAATAAAACATTTTATCATAAATCTTAAACCGGGCATTATGTATAGGCAAAATAGGTACTTGGCTGTAAAGGGGCAATATTATTTGTATGTGGAGTATAAAATTGAGTCAATAAGACTTCACTACATACTTTTTGAATTCGATTTTTTTTTAATGTTTTATGCGAACCAGATATTAATTGTTAGTATAAAATTAAAACGCATCTTAACAAGATTTTCATGAATAATAGTTATTGGAAAACGAAAAAATCATTATTTATTTAGCATTTTCTTTAAGCGTAGTTAAACACTATATTATTTTGAACTAAAAATTTGATATTTGTAAACTTCAAGGCGAGTATTGTCACGGTTGCACAGAGAGAATCGTTTTCGCCAAATTAAACATTCCAAGTAATATACATAAATCTGTTTAAATGGAATTTTCTAGAAATTTTATCACCAGCATTGGATCGCCCATCAATTTTGTAATCTTCAATGCGTGGGTTTAATTATACTGTAAAAAGGGAACGTAAATATTTAACATTCTAAAATTCCAAAATGACCCTGCGATGACATTGATAAAACGGCCGTGTCACGTGTAATCCAACCTTGAAATTATTTATACGTTTGTCAGAATTGTCGGGGCTCCTTTTTTCGTCCCCTAACCGTCGTTGTAAACTTAACTGAGAATACTACTAATTACTGTTTATTAAAATGGATCGGTGCCAAAATTTCATTTTTAGTGGCCTGTAATTAACGTTTTCAATCAAAATAAAACTAAAAAATATGTTAAACATATTCGTTTCGGTGTTTTACACATTATAATATGGAATGGTAAAATTAACAGTACGTGTATAAATATTATATTTTGTAAAATATACAAATATATGTATAATATTGATTTAGTTTCTAAATAAATTGCTGTAGTTAGTAAGCGAGTATTCAGATTATAAAATCCTATTTTATCACTCTGCTAAAATTTGTTGTTTTCAGAGAATTATTCGGAAGCTCAACTCAACTGACAACATTAAATATATGCGTAAATTACATATAACCCAATATTATATTATGTTTAAATGATATATTTATTCAAATCTTTAATTAGACAAAAACTCTAAAGCGTTTTTCATGGTAAAAGAAATGTTCTACCAATAAACGTTATACGAATTATGTTTTGGGTACTGTTATAGGAATACTTCGGTACAATGACAAAATGTTTTCCTGAAATTTGATACATTTTAAAAATATCTTTTTAAGAATGATAATTTAATAATATATCATATACACACGACGCTTTCATTTTATTTTTCACTTTAGGGAGAACTGTTTTAAAAAATAAAACAATTTTTACTAAGTGACAAGGGAAATACATTTCAGCTAACTGAAAGTAAATTTATTATGATAGTGCTAATAAACAATGTACACAATTCGGCCACCAATCAAACTACATAAAACACTATCTGTATTTTAACCATTGTTTCAATATATTGCACACTCATTGACAGCTGCAGACAAATGAATCAAAAATGAACATAAAATAGAACATTTTTTCATAATTTTGCAAGCTCTTTTTTATTTTGTAATTACTTACTACTACAATGTGTACACTGTGTCAAAATAATATTTTAATAGTGAAGCTTGAATTTAAAATGAATGTGTAAGTACTAAGTTATTTATGTTTCAAACATTTTTTTTTATAATTATAATTAATAATTTTTATTCCTCATCTATACAATAGTTAGGCTTTACATAATATTCCATAGTATTGTATTATAGGTAATTTATTTTTTTAATACTATAACTGAATACACGTGATTCGGACAGCAAAAAATCAACTTTTGTCTACTATTTTTCGATAAAATATGTTTTGGTGCAATATTACATGGATCGGATTTGCTACAAAACACGGACTGGAAAATTAAGGCTATTGAAATATTTAAATGTATCAAACCAGCGACAATGCGTAAAACAATAATTATTAATTATTCAATGACTTACTCTTAGCGAAATATCTTTAGTTTATTATGCAACTATGCAATTCGACTTGAAATCAAAACATTCAATTGCATTTGCAGTAAATTACTTTTTGCATCAAGAGAGTATCAAACTCTGCGTGTGGCATGAATTCGTTTGACATTTAAATTCTGTTGAGTCTTTTGGGGATACCTTAACCATTTTTTGCAGCAATGATATCATAAACATGTTTTTTCCATTTATTTCGGTCAATAATATTTACAAAAATATGATTCATACGATTCAAGTATGCCTAATAAAAAATACATCAACATCATCTCTAATAGTAGGTATAAAATAAAATTAAAAAGATGTCATACTTTAAATAGCTTATCCTTTAAAAGTTTAAATCAAAATAAAAACAACTTCATTATAAATATAACATTTAAGTATAATAATTAACCAATAACAAATTAAGTAACACTAGTTCTTGTTTAAGTCTGAACATTTTTATCAGTAAAATAAACTCATCAAAGTGAATCACAATATCTCCTGTATAAAAAAAAATTAACCTTTTTAAGTAAGATAAAATACAAAAATTACATTACTCTTGACTTTTTCATTTTCAGAAATAATATTTATCTTATTTTTAAATTTTTTTTAGGTAGAAGGAATGTAGTAAAAATGAAACTATGTAGAAATCGTTTCATTACTGCATAAATTGGATTGATAACAATGAATATTATATTAACGTTATAAAATTATGAAAATAAAACACGCTCAAATACAGTTTACTAGTTGAACATTTTATTTTAATTAAGTTGTTATAACATAACTGACCAAGTATACTCGGCACAGTGATAAATGGGAAAATGTTTTATATATTCACTTGGTTACTTTTTGCACGACGGCAACGACATATATGAGTATACATTTATTTATAAAAATATATCATAATATTATAAAATATAATGTGCGCAAGTATAATCTTATTGTAAATTAAAGAAAAATAGTCTGCTATTGAACAAATACCTTTTCATAATAGCAGTATTTCTATTATAGAATGTTATCTTACTTATAATAACAAAAACAAAAAATCTATACATTTTGATGATAATAATTATAGTTATATCCGTAGCTTTTTATAATTATTACTTTGTTAAATTTACAAATATAACATTTAATTCGCAATCCGATTCAGCCGAAAGACGAATAATTGACAACATCGCGTCTTTCCATGTAATGTAATATTCTTAAGCCATTCAAGTGTCTCGTAATTATTAACGGGTTTGCTATTTCATTATTACTAATGCAGACATTGTTCAAATTGCAGCTTTTAATCAGATCCAAAGTAATTAAAGTTTCTATATTGAATTTTAGTTAAAATAAACTGGGTAGGTACGCATGATTACAACAAAAAGTTTACTGAGTACTCGTAATTGTATAATGCGTATATTATATAATAGGTAAATAATGAAACAGTATATTATATACATATGGGGCACTCTGAGTCAAACCACACGGTCATCGGCCTGACCTCCTCAAATTTTTTTAAAACTTATTTTGGTCTAATAATAAGACTTTCATTTTTTTTTGAAATTTTTATCACTAATTTTTGCCCCAAAAATAGAGGGTATTTATAGTTATTTTTAAAACAAATCGATTTCGACTCGTTTTAAATTTTTATCATAAAATCAGAGACTTAAATAAAAATTTTTTGTCTAATAACGGGAGTCGGCCGAGATTTATTTCTATTTTTTTTTTTTAATAAAGACAAATTTAATTTAAGTTTTCTTATTAAAAAAATAAAAAATAAAACATGACCTGGTAAATTTTGATTTTTTGAATATTTTAGGAGTAAAAAGTGAAAAATGTTCCTTACGAATAACATTAAAAATAATACAGGGGCGTAGTGTAGACGCAGTGGACAGTGGGCACCTCAGCTGCCACGCGGCATTTGAGGTTAAGCTGTGTCCGTTGCTGCTTGATCCAGGATGGGTGACCACCCGGGAAAAATTGTCTTTATTAAAAAAAAAATAGAAATAAATCTCGGTCCGCTCCCGTTATTAGACGAAAAGATTTGATTTAAGTCTCTGATTTTATGATAAAATTTTCAGAAATTTAAAATGGGTTGCATTCTATTTTTTTTTAATTAACTTAAAAAACCTCAAGTTTAAGGGCAAGAATTAGTGATAAAAATTTCAAAAAAATTTGAGGAGGTCAGGCCGATGACTGTGTGGTTTGACTCAGAATGCCCCATATACTGATATACACGTGTAATGTTTATCACAAAAAAAAATCCACTTTAATATATTATAGTTGATTTTTTTTTTACATACTCAGTTATATTTTATTAACCTATGATTTATTATACTGTTACAATAAAATACTTTACTTTTATTTAACAATCGTTCAAAATTATAAAAGAAAATGGTAAAGTACAGAATTAAAATATCATTCAATATATTTGGATTTCCGGTACACCAAAAAAAGACCAATAATATGCCCAAATTAATAGATCAAAGTAAAGAAATAAATACACTGTATTACATTAGGAACTAAATATACTAGACAAGGGTTAAATATACTAAGATTTGTGGTAAACTTTCGATTAAATAAACAAAAGAAATTTTAAAATACCTTTATTAAATAAAAAAAATGCATTCTTTCACTCAGGAGACAGGATGTCTCATGACTTTCGTACACGCGATTCATTTTGTGTAATTCAATAGACTGCAAACGTTAGTTAACATAAATTATTACTGCATAAAATTATCTTAATGAATTAATTTTATGCAATGACCCGACAAACTTCTACAATGTGTATATATTTACTTTACAGGTGGGTCATCATCTCCGAGGCGTGCGTTAAGTACTTCTGAATTAATCACCCGAACCCGTTTAATTGAACGCTAAAATATATGTTTACCCAGTTTTAGTGGAGCTTTTACGCGGGCGTTTTTCTTGTGTAGTCGAGAATAACACGATATTAATTTTACAATGTGAACTCAGAGTAAAGAGTTTACTTTTATTAATATTTTCATCGTCGTCACTTTATTCTAAAAAAAAATTTTAAAAACGAGTGATAACAAAAATAATTCAATATGTTATCGTCTGAGTTTTAATAGTAAAACGTTAAAATTGAATACTTAATTTGTGATATTTTCCTCTACTCTAGTTTATATGTATGAATAATGAAATAGAAAAAAAGCTAGTACAGTGGGGTCGGAGCATAGTGGGGACGGAGAGGTCACAGGTCTATAGATTTTATTATAACTGAAAGTGATGAATCACTTTTAAATAAACGCTTCGATGCGAATCTGTGGATAGTATGTTTAAACCAGTTATAGCGGTTTAGAAGATATCGTGGGACCAGCAAAAATGTACTTAAAATTTAATATATTTTAGTCTTGTGCAGGGTGGATACGATAAGGGTTAATCGTCTGTCTATAAAAATGTACTGTCATAGTAACCCATTTATCATAATTAACAATATAATGAAAAAATGTTATTACCTGTTGACTGTTGATTCACACACACATAGCAAACTAGAAACTGACTACGGCCAAAGTGTAAATTTACCCCATTTTTGGGTTTTTTCTTAATAAAAAAAAAATTTGACTACAGATTTTTGAGAAAATTGTATATGTTACAGTTCCATTTTAGATCTACCTTTGGTCTAATTTTCAGATCTAAATCTCTAAAACTTGCTTGAAAAAGTGAAATAAAGAAAAAAATTCTATCCTTTTTAAGGGAAAGGGTTTATGATATTTTATTGGTTTGTTAATGCGTATCGATAGTACTATGTTTGAAAAACAATTCATATAAATTTGGAACATTTTTGACTATTTTTAAATAAGTTATAGCGCATCGTAATTTTAAGTTGAAAAATGTGTAAATTTTTTGGGTGTTTTTCTCGATTTTGATGGGGAAGGGGTGACTTTTTTAATTTTTGGACTCTTAAAGTACCTTCCAGGTATGATTTCTGATCTATGGAGTTGCTACACGAAGAAACCGGTTCAGCGGTTTACGAGATATCGTGGGTCCAGACACAAAAAAAAGTAAAAAATTAAAATTAAAAAAATAAATAAATAAATAAAAACACTTCATTGTAAATAAAACACATCCTCAGCTCCGCACCGAAGCTAAAATAATGCTAAATTAGTTGGATCTGTTGTACGTGAGTAGTTTGAAAAAAAAACTATGAATTTAAGTTTAAAAAAAAAAAACAAGACGACTTTTAAAACGTATTCAATCGAACATCGTGACGGCAAATATTTACGGTTTGAGATAAGTATTTCCATATTCATAGGGAAAAAAATACGTTTAATAACGGTCGTTGGATATGCGAGCGATGTACGCGCTATATTCGTTTCCCAAACAAATATATTCTTCGAATGATTATTTACTCCCCTTGTTTGCGTATCCACTATCAACATTACTTTCTGCGAATGCATGTAATATTTTTGTTATTGGATTTTCGCATAATATTTGTACGGTGGCTCACAGCCCGCACGTCGCCTTTGGCTCGTGTCCTTTTTGTGTAGCAATGTAAAAAAAAAAAAATGTTATAATAAAAAACATCTAGAGAGGTAATGTTTCCGAACTGACGGTAATTCCACGGACACCGATAATAATAACAATAATAATAATTAATGGAATTCGTAATTCTATGTATTCCACGGCGCTGTTGCCCTTTTATTGTTATTGCGAAATGCGAAATCCGGCTACATGCAATATTTATAGCCCTCGGAGATCCGATGACATTACCGCTGACGCTAATCCCGCGTTTAAAACTATTGCCACACGAGGGAATGAATCACTTGACCTGTCTTATACAAAAGCTGTATCTGTGTGTGACAATTTTGTTTTTTTTATTTAGAACGGAGGCGCCAAAGGGGGATTCGATATGAATATAGCGCCGGCATGGCAGAAAGGATATACGGGAAAAGGTGTGGTCGTGTCCATACTAGACGACGGAATACAAACAAACCACCCCGATTTGGCGTACAACTATGTGAGTACAATTATATCATAATATTAATTTAACATATAACGATAATAATAGTACAACTCTCGCAACTGTGCGCATTTTATGTACTTGATATTATAGAGCTACTGTATAACACACACACACACACCCACACTAGTTAAATTGAATTAATATTGTTTAACGGGTTGTTTTTATAACATAAAATAATAATATACCTACCACCAAAAAGTCACGTTAGCAATGTTTTGAGATTCAATTTTAATATATTTTGCCGAATTCTAAAATTAGGACAGGATTATTAGGAAGTATAGCGTGTTTATTTTAAAATCACCTAAAAAAAATGTACAGCATCCACGCTTAATTGAGAGGACGTCTTGGTTGCATATTTTACTAAACGATTTTTTTATAGGCAATTTTTGTCAACATTTTTTTATATCGAAAACAAACTATACAATAATAATAGCGCTACATAAAAACATCTGTTGACTTTCACAGCATCCATTATTTTTAGTCGCCATACTTTCAATAGTACAGCTTAAAATATAAGCGTTATTGAGAAAATTCAACACTTAGACATCATGGTCTACGCTGACATCATCGATTAGCGTAAAAGCATATCCTAGACATCTTAAGTAGCCTGTGAAGCTATGGAATTAGTTATTAGGTTAAAGACGACTTGTATCCTATAAAAACTACCCTTGATCAATGGATTAAAAATACATCATTCTACAACTGTATGATTAATTATTATCGACCATTGATCATGGACGGGATGTTTTTATATTCCTAAGCAATAACCTAACTATGACGTTTTAACTTGTTTTTGATGGCTAGTATTATATGCCGGTTTTCTCTGGCTGTTACATCGAGTATGTGTGGTTAGGTTTGGTTAGGTGATATCGTTGGTATTGCGTTAATACATCACCACATAAACACCATAAATAAATAAAAACATTGTTTGTATTTATATTATGTGCATTTATAATGATAAACTGTTTTTATTCACTTATAATTTTATAAGTGAATAAAGTTGAGAAAAGTTGGTTCGTTGAATCGATATTTAATTATTTTAGTTACTCAGTGGAGTTACTAGATTTGGTTACAAGGTAGCAGGTGCTTATTAGTCAGAAAATTAAATTAACAGCTCCTAATTTGGTGTGTTGCCACTCACAGTTAGCAAACAAAATACGTGGAAAACGATGGTCGTCGTTTCGGTATAGTTTGAAAAGAATCTGTTTCGACTTTTTATCTCAAGTTGTAGTATACTATAACAATAAACTATGTTCGAGGCTCGAGCAGAATTATTGCGTACTTACCATGTGTATTAAAAATATATTTTTTTGTTTTATTTATATAGCATAATATTAAACGGCCTATTGTTATTATATTATTTAGCATATGAAACTTAAAAAAAATGTAGAATTAAAATATATTATATTTTTATAACAGTTATATTATTTTTGATCGAAATTCAGTTTCATTATTGTAGATGAGTACTTAATTAAATGAACAAACAGCGTTTAGTGGTGGAAAATATACGGTACAAGTGTTCTCGAGTAAAATAAACCAACATTTCAAAAGTGCCCGTTTAGCAGCCAATGGGAGTGTTCATGGGTCAATGCAGGTCGTACAATACGGCTTTATGTACTTAATTTTTACATGAATGAGGGAATGGGGTTAATTATTGCCAAGGGTATAAACAGCATAGTGTGATTCGAGAGTTCTGAAGCCATTTCGAATCCATGTTTATTTTAGAGGGAAATATTTTGGGCTAAACTCAGACCCTAATACATAAGGTCAAATTAACATAACTGTAATTTAATTAACTTCAACACAAAAATATTTGTACCAAATATATTTCACTAAATCAAGATAATTCTGTGGAAATGGTTTCGGTTTCGTTTTAATTTATAATATTATATACTTTAAAGTTTAAAGTTTAAATAACTTCCAATTTATTATGTTTTTTTGCTCCCCTCAAAATATAATTATATTATAATACTTGAATATTATACTTTGATTATGAAAGGAAACAACTCGATACAATAATACTGGCGATAGTTAATATAATATAGAACAAGTAATGATTTTTATTTTATAGCTTAACTTTTTACTAAAAAACTTTTCTTTTTGTGTTTACCACAGTTAAATAAGATAAGTAGTAACTCTTTCAAGAGAATAACATTAAAAAGCACTCCAGATAAAAAGAATTTTTAAACTTTACCGCCGTTTTTTTTTTATAAGAATAATTATTGTATAGAATTTATATGAATAGTAAGTCTACGTGATAAATTACCTTTTCAATAACCAATATTGTTCAAATGACAATAAATGAGTAAGTAAAAATATTTTAAGTTTTATAGTGGTCTAATGCATATTTTATCTTTTAAAAAATATATTTTTGTGTACTTTTTTAATACATAATAATAAAAAGAACTTATTTTAATATTTGACCGTTTAAAATAATATCTTAGCAATAATAATTGTACTACTTATATGAGCATAAAAACAATTATTTTAAAAAAAATTCCCAAATAAGACTACTTAAATATTCTTTTAACAAAAGCGATGTGTTCTATTAATATTAGATGACAATTTTCATATTGATGTTAAATAGTACATTTTAATGTATTATTATATCCCATAATAATAGTTAATTTGTGGAGAAGCAATAGTTGCCACATGTTATTAGCGCGGATCTAGGAGTAAAAAAAAGAGGGGCTAGAAAAAAAAATACTATCGCACTTCTGCTTAAAAAGTGACACAACTTGAAAAATGCCATTTTCCAATAGAGTCATTTAAAAAAGTACATATTATATCATAAAAAAAACACAGAAATGCCATTTTATTGCATACAATTTAAGTACATAATATGAGAGGGACTTCAGCCTACATATCATCTCTTTTTATACGCGCCGGAGTATTATTAGAACATAATTTATTTAGGGCGTTCATAAATTGTTAATTTTCTTGTAATTCATCTAGCTGAAACGAAAACATGGTAAATATGTCGTATGATTTTTGGATATTCAAATGCACATAAGGAAAATGCATTTGGGTTTGCGTTTTCGTTTTCGTATACTATTATTACAGAATACGTTGTGTCAGCACATCTGATAGATGTGAGCACCACAACATAGTAATTTACGACCGGGTAATATTCGATCATAGAGCGAAATGGCACTTCTGGGCTCAATCTTGCAAATCCCTTTCCGTTTTGTATTCGAACAACATCTCGCGCATTTTGTCGTATCTTTGAATGTATATGTGTATCTCAAACATTATATATATATTATATAATACTATATACTTTATATATATATATACATACACTCTCCAAAAATTGTCGAATATTTTTATACGACGTATATAAGCGCAAGTTATAGGCATTAGAGAAGGAGGGCGAAATCCCATTGTCGACCGTTGCTATTGTGTAAACCAAACTAAATAAACTTTGACTAGGTTAACTAAAACATGGTCGATAATTGCGGTTTGCATCATGGTTCCAATCCACTGGTCGCTGTTTATGTATTGAATATTTACTAGTATATGTATTCATGCAGGATAATTAATTTAACGTAAAGCTTTAGTTTTCTTTTTAAAAACATTTTTATTATTGTTTTCAAAAAAAAATAATTGTATAAAACTGATAAATATTTGCCTTTTTTTAGTAAATCACAGAACGCTATCAACTTTTGAAGCTACATCGGTACATATTTAATTTACTCTTTAAAGCAAGACAAATGTATGGAAAAAGTTGACTATTCTGTGACGAGTTCTCAATAATTATTTTTAAAGTTCTTAGTTTAACGTTAGTACGGGAAGGTTAGGTAATTTTACAGATTTGATGCTGTGATTAGTATCCAATAAATATTCCGCAACAGATAATGTGTGTGCTTCTTGGTTTTGAATGTTCCTTATGTGTTCTTTAAACCTAACCACAATATTTCGTTTTATCTGACCTACATAACATTTATCGCATTCTTCACATTGTATTTTATAAAACCCGGATTTTTCCTCTACCCTTATTTCATCTTTGGTACTACCTAATAAAAATTTTAAGTTATTACTTTTTGATGCAACTACAGTTATACCGTAATTTTTAAAAATGTTTGTTAACCCCCTTGAAATACATGGTAAATAAACCATACCCGAACTTATAAATTTCTTATTGTCCCACCTACTAAGCGTACTGGCTGTTCTAACTTCCCTTGACCGCTTATGCTTATTAACTAATCTAAAAATCATATTTGCATCATACTCATTAAATTTAGCTATTTCAGTTATTAAATTAAGTTCCAAAAATGTAGCAAATAAATAAAATAAGAAAACCTTGACAACATTTAACATTTTTTAATTATTATATTTTTTATTTGTCAAGTTACCATTATTTTGGAAACGTCAAATTATACTTGGAAAGTTGGAACGCGTGTACGACGGGTATTAAATTAGGTACTTCTCGGCGGTAATTTTATAACACGCGTTCAAGGAAGTACGGAACGATGATTAAGTCGAGTCGGTATAGCAACTGCGGCGGCGGTAGCAGTGGTGATGGCAGCATGTGTGATATAAGTATTTCCAAGTTTTACTAGCCAACCTGCTTGGATCGGAGCCATAACTCTCTCTACCGCGCCCCCCCCCCATGGCCAACGGCGCCGTCCTTTAATTTTGGTTGAAATCTTTCATAAGTTAATGATGACTCGTATAACTTACTACATACCGCACCTGCCCTTCAGCGCAGGCGTTTAACCAAAGCTGTACCTATCAGTTTTACGCACTCGTGTGTATTTTCGACGAAATCTCGTTTATCTCTCATACGCGTGCGAGTGTGTGAATAAATCCGCGTTTTGGATTTTAACGGTCCCGGATGGGACCTAAAAATACAGGCGAGCCCAGTCGGGGAAGAGTGGGGAGGGAGGGGGGGGGGTTGGAGAAGTGCGACTGCAAATCAAAATTGTACACGAGGAAATACACGAGTACGGTCCGCCAGCAGAGAAACGGGGGAAATCCGCATTCGCAAAGTT